AGGCTGCTCCGGGGGAGCGCCGGCCGGCCGCCCGCCAGGACCTTCCCTCCGCTCCCGCTGGGCTAAGAGGCAAAAGCCAGAGTAGAGCGATAGAAGCGTTGCTGCCGTCCTGATGGGGAATCTTCTCTCCACATCCTTCTTCTTCACCAGTTGTGTGTGTCCTGAGTGTTTCTCAGCTAGAACAATGAAAAGACTGCTGCTGATCAGATTTTACTGCTTTTCGTTTGATGGCGAGAACTTTCACAGCAATAATTCTCTTCTTCGGAAAATGAAAACTAAAAGGACACAGCGCGCAGCATTTCAAATTGTCTCTGATTACTTCCTGAAAAAAAGACAGCATTATCACCACTGTAGAAATCACCTAACCCCACCAGCTTACATTCTTTGATTTTACACCTTTTGTAAATGAGGAGAAAAATATTTATTTAGACTCAATGATGCCACAATTACTGGCTTCTTCTACTATTACTACCAAGCTTTACTCCTAACGGCCAACAACATTCTGGGATGAGCTGGAGTAAATCAGAGTGAAAATCATAATCCCAGTCATTATCAGTTTATTCCTATGTTTCAAAAAGCTTGGCAACGGAGCTATTCATTGGGCAAACTGTTGAGAGCAGCTTAAGTTCCTCCCGGCCCCGCAAAATAACACACAGGCAGACTTCTGCAGCTCAGCCATCTGAGCACCTAACTTGAATTTCTAAACACTGGCAACTTGAGCACAACTCTGGACACTGAAATGCAATGGAAAACAGAATACTGAAAATAGAATTATATTTAGGTGAGCTATAAGAAACCTCTTTCATTGTTTTGACTAGCTTATGCTATTTAAAATAAAAAATAGTTTCATTAACGTTCGCAAGTACATCTCCTCCTAAGAAGGAGATGCTATGACCTCTTTCAAGATCCAACACCTAGATACAAAATACATAAGCTATATAGCAAAAAATACTGAGTTATTCCATTTTCAGTACTGTTTGAATTTCATTAAGTTTTGCTTAAATTGCTGTCCATTGCAAATAAAATCATAGATTTTCTGAGGAGATTTTAAATAGTTCCAGGTAAAACATACATTACTTTTACACATATATTTGCCTGAGATTAAATTATACTTTTTCTGACTTAACGGAATTTAGAAGAATTTCTGGAAGTAGAACTTCAGTTTGGCCATTCTATATTACCACAACTTTCAAAATCCCAGTCTTCACTTAAGCAAATGTTCACGTATGTATAACAGATCAAGTTCAAAATCTCTTGATTATGTACACTGCCAGTATGCTTGTAGGCAAATTTGTCTGTGTGGCTTTAAACTGGTTTTAGGACTATTCATTCTATGAAGTGCAGGGTCTTTTTAGGGGGCTGTCACTGTGTTTTGCCTTTGTAATCTCATTTCTCTTCTTCGCAGAGATTTCAGTTGTTAAGTCTCAGTGAGTTTTAGCTTTATTTTGTATTTTTTTTGAATCTGCAAATACTGCTGATCTTTATGTTGACTGATCCTGCACCCCTTACGTAAAATGGAGCTTTCCTTAAGGAGGTGTGGGAACAGGCCGTGGTGCATCAAAAGGTTATTTCATTAAATTTACAACTTTTTTCACTGTTTTTACAAAATACATAGTTTTGTTAGCACTTACCTCTTCAAAATAATTCTCTTCCCTTTTTACTACCCCAGCAGCTAAAGAGTTTTTGAGAAACTGCGATCATTAGCAATTTCGCCCACAAATGGAGTTGTCTCCCAAGCTGCTTCAGGGCATCTGCATCACCAAAGCGCTAACACAGTACGAGCCTGATGCGAACCTTTGACTGCACTGACATTGCCAGCCCGATAATTATTCATGAAATCATCTTTGTGCTCTAAAAGACTGTTTAAAAACATACATTTTTGGATGTCACAGGAGAAGCATCCAGAGGTTAGAGGCCTCGGTACTGGGTTCGTGTAATGTCAGTGGAAGAATTAGAATTAGTTAACACCAGATCTGACTACTGCCTTATAGGAACTAGATTTTATTTCATTTTTTTTTTCTTAAGGACTCAGGCACTTTAAAAAGCAATAAGCACTTACAGGGGTTTTCAATTATCTTTTCCTCACAGATAATTTGCCCCTTAAGATACAGAGATCAATTATTTCAATGGAAGAAAGTTGGGCACATTGCCCTTATGAAAATCTGGCCTGAAGACCTGGCTCTGCTGCTGCCTGCATGGTCAGCACATCTACAATAGGACGCTGCAGACTGATGCAAGCTTGCTCTGCTTGTGCCCTGAGCTGACGGGACACAAGCCGCCTGAAATCAAAAAGCTTGTGATTTTGTTAGTGTGGCACCTGAGATGATATCCCTTGCTTCTCAGATGGGTTTCTTAGGTTGGCCTCCTTAACATTAACACAAATACACAGCTTTCAGGATCTTAGGAGTGGAAGTAAATTAACCTTGCGTTTGCTACAGTACACAGGCAGAAAAATCCCTTATTTGGATTTCTCTACTTACTTTCTTATCTTAGTTTCACATCTATAAAAAAGATTAATTATAGCCACTAAGTACTTATTATCAAATACTTCTGAGCAAATTATTTTAATATTCTTACAAAATTACTAAATCCCCATAATATTGACTTCCTTGACAAAATATGGAAAGGCTATTTGGAGAAGATGACTGGAAGAAATAATGGAGGGGAGGAACATAGCTTAAAGATACATAAAGTATCTAAATGTAAGAAGTCTATATATGTGACAGAGAGCCAGAACCGGCTATGAATCTAAAGGTCACACAGAGGACTTCTTAACTGTGTGTGTGAAGAAGCAACAGAAATGATTACCCTTGGGAAAGGTATTGAGGTACTGGCTGGTTGTTTCAGCACCAATTCTGCCTGCCAAACCCTCAAAGGGAAATATCTGAGAGGATGATGGGACTTCCAGACTCTCAAACTAGGAAGTCAAGAGCATTAACCTAAAAACAAGGAACAAGAATACGGTGTGTTTTTAGAACCATTAATACATTTTCTTAACAATGACAACCATAGAATTTACATTTGTAACTGTAGTTCAGTTCATTAAAACAAAACAGGGCCTTCAGCCACATTTTTCCATATACAAAAAGTTACTTGAGGAGTGTAATATCAACATAGTTGATCATATCCCATTCACTTGGAATCTTTAGCTAGTTACTGCAGAACTCAGTATCCAATGCCATCTTTCTATACTGTTGTGCCAGGTCAGTCTGCCATGGTGACATCATTCAGTTGTTTAACATGCGATAGGCTATTGTACAGGGAAAAGTCTGTCAAGTTACTATTCTGATAAGACAAGACCACTTGGTGACTGAGTAAACAATCTGGAAAATACCAACAATAGCTGATTTATCATGTCTATGGCTTAAAAAGCCTATACTGGAACCCAGCCATTTAAAATAAACGTGGACTCATTAAATCTGTATAGTGATTGCCATTTATTGTTGTTTTTGTTAAAAAAAAAGTAACACCAAGACTTAAATGACTTATGCATTCTTTTTTGGTTATTATATTTTTAAAGTCATTCATTAGAAAAGACATCTTTTTTCCCAAGTTTAAGTCAAATATAATCTTCTTGGAGAAAAAAAAAATCCCAAAAATATAAGTGAGCTAAAATGGAGGTAATTTTCGATTTACTAGTGTTACATAACAAAAAAGATTTTCAGGTGGTGATACTCAGTAGGTAAGCATTACTATAAACAAGTAAAACATTAGTTCACAATACAAAATCATGTTACATGTATCTTTATTACGGCTTTCAGAATACATGGATTAACAATGGCCAGGCTGTGATTTCATCAAATTCTTATTTTAAACATAACTTACAAACACAGAGCTGGTTAAATAATAGAAATGTATAAGTTTTGACACTTTTTTTTTTTTTTGGCATCAGGAGTCATATAACTTCCAAAAGAGAAACCAAATGGTGCATGTAACAGACCATGACTAAACTGTAATAGGTTGTTGTTCACATTCTGTGGCATATGTATCACCCCAAATAAGTACTATAAGAACTTTCTGCATTAATATTTTTCTTGCACAACTCCCTTTCTTGCGCATGAAAGCAATGTGTTCTGAAACAGAAACCCCTGAAGCTGAGGGATTTGGCTTTAGTTGCTTTGATGATTTTTTTTTTGTTTAAACCTACATTTTTTGTGCATGTGTGGGCACCTATGTAGATACTGTAGAAGAAGAGATGTGGAGGTTTCTTATAATACCTAAAACTGCAGAATGTGGAAATACGTTATGGCACATAAGAGATGCAATACCTTTACACCGCTTTGTCTCTTAGCATTTATCATGCCTGACCTCTCAGCAATTTGAAGGCAAATATTACAGCACAATTTAGCCAAGCCTTCGTTAAATGGATAAGAAGCAATTTACATGTACAGATAAGTTTGCTCCCACCAGCTTTAAATATTTACTAGCTATATAATTCTCAGTGTAGGAAGTACTAATTCACCCATCAAAGAAGGATCCTTTGCGCCTGAGGGGTGCAAAAGCCAAACACTGCAAAATTTTCTTAATGAATGCTACAGACAGGAGGATTTCGAAATCCAACCTAAATCTCAGCCAGATTCTCAAAGTTCTGCAAAGCATTTGTAAATTGTGGGATGACTTTAAAGTAGGCCACTGATGAATTGTGGTCTGGATGGAAACCATGAAAACATTATGGTTTTTACAGCACTTGTCTGAGGTAGTACATAGACCACACACAAAAATGCAAGAATAGACACATATTCATAACTATTTAAATATTATAAAAGGGAACTATGGGAACGTTTGCATTTATATCTAAGTTTTCAAAAAAGACTAGATAATTTCAGGCAACATTTCTGATATTTACCACAGTCGCCTAAAGCCAGAACAAATTATGCAATAGTATTTCCAGCAATACTTCTTGAAGTTGTTTGTCAATGCCTTCCGAGGCACTAATTTTGTTTTGGCTACAGTATCAGTTCAAAGCACAGTTAA